AAAGAAGGAATTTTATCTGCGTTTATTACTAAAAAAAAGTTATAGTAACAAATCAAATTTTTTTCATGTACCATGAAATGATGTGTCAAAGAATAGATACCACACGCGCAGTGCTAAATTTCTTATTTGTACATTTGTAGGTACAAAATTTTAACAGAAGTTGCATCTTATGAACGGAAAATTCATACTCGTATCAAAAAAATGGATTGCTTATGCGCATTTCCTACTTGGGTGCCACTGCTCCGAAATTTTAACTGAAGATACTTCTTAGAAACCGAAATGATAACACATGTTAAGGAATGGATCGCAGTTGGGAAGAATTATCTTTTTTCTACGAAAATTTTAATCGTTTGTGTACCAAATTTGGTTCCAATCGGTTCAGGCGTTTATCCCGAAATGAGAGTACAGACGGACCGACAGACCGGCAAACCAACATCACCGAGATTTTGTTTGATTCGGATTCCTGGTGCTTCAAAACGTGTATTTCGGTCAAAAACAGTGGGGGGTCATTACTTACTAACGAACGGGTGGTAAAAATAGATTGCAGATGCGAAAATTCAACCTTTTATGTGTGAACCAATTTTTTTGCAATTTTAACAGAAGAAGCTTCTTATAAAATAAAATTGAAAACGCATGTCAGAAAATGTTTGCGCGTACGCAGAGGCGAGGTCTTAGCCTATTTCCACAAAACTGAAAAGTATGCTATTGTGGTCACTTTGTGGGGCCGTCCGTGGATCCTTCCATCCTTCCATTTGGGTCGTTATGGTGTCGAGGAAGAATTTTTTTCCGTTTCTCACAAAGACAATTATTTTTATTATTATCATAATTTTAAACTCTTGTCATGTACCTATAAGGTGCTTATAACTTGTATACGTTTGTTGCTGTTTGATTTTTGATTAGAAAAAGCTTCAGCACTACACTTGCTCTACTTTAGCGATCATTTTGGATCCAAGAAACCCAACATTTGTTTAAAAATAGATTGCGCATGCGCAGACCCAACTTTCTTATTATTTTATGAGTGCTTTCTCTCAAATTTTAAGGGAAAGTGCTTCTTAAGAAATCCTCCTGAAATTTCAGCGAAATATACTCTTATAAAAGAAAATTGGAAACATTCGGCAAAATATAGATTTGTGCAAGCGCAGGTATAGTCGTATTTGTGAACTACTTTTGTTTTTAAATTTCAACTGAAAAAATTTGAACAATAAATTGAACACACATAACCAACAATTTATTCCTCAATTGTCTTATTGTGAGGTGACTTTTGATTCTTATAATAATAAACTCAACGCTCATATTTGTTAATTTGGAAATGCGCTTTTTGTAAATCGTTTGCGATTACTTTTTTTAACTTGCTTACTGATTTTTCGAAAGCGTCTGACGTTGGCCATTATGATTTATTGCTCAAAAAACTTAAAGAATTAGTCGCTTCTTAATCTCTGTGACTTCGAAGCTATCTTGAATCCAGGAAATGTCATGCCCGTTTCCTGAATTATTGATTCTCTTAGTTGCCTGCCTACATCAGGGGTTCCACAGGGCTCTAAGCGTGTGCCCCTATTTTTCTTTGCAGAAGGGTTTCGAGACACTCAGTAATTATAATATGTATTTAAAGAAAATCCTACACAAATGGATCCAAAATTATCATGCCCACGAACAGGCAGACAGCAATACAGAATTTTTGCCGATCTTGATTATCGATAATAGGTAAATTATTCTTAAATATCAAAAAATTCAACTTCTTGAATCATTTTCCACTATGAGAGACCTTGGTGTAGTTCTTAATAGTAATTTCACATTTGTAAATCATATTGATTATTTAGTAAGCCAGTCTTTGAAAATGATTGGGTTTATAAAACAAATACTAGGCATTTTAGAAGTATTAAGGGTATCATTATATTATATTGGTGCTTTTGTAAGATCTAAGTTTAAATATTGTTTTACCATCAACATAAATAAGATGCAAAAGATACAAAATCGTTTTCTTAGGTGATGTTGCGCTATGTGCAATGGCTTGCGGTCAAATCAATTGAAATTTAGAATTTGCATGATCTCTCCTCCAGCATTCGCTACACAGCAAAATCCTAATAATGACTCCAAATTTATAACTTAGGAGACTCAGTGTCAGTAGCCCCGGTCAACTTCCGAAAATTGCAAATAATCAATTATATAAATTTTGTTCAACACCTGAGATAAATTTTGAGCAGAAATAGAAAAATCTGAACGTGAAAACTCTACCTGGGTCGTGCAATGGATTCAAATACACACAATTAATTGAGTGACAATGCCAAACAAATTTATTCCGAAACACATACGCAGAAACTCATCACGAAAAACCTGAAATAAAGAGTTGTCGGTCAAAATCTGCAACGAACAACACTAAACGTAACGTAACTTCAAAATCTAATTTACAATACACAGATACCTAAATATCTCCGTATAACAAAACTAATCTGAAGAATTGAAACGTAATTAAACTAACATGAATGTTTTCTTCGCAACGACAGAAAGTAACGTAGATAAAATCGGAGTATTATTCGTAAGGACCAAGGGTAATGTAGGTACGTAAAATCAGAAGTATCGAAGAAATTTACAACAGCAATAATACTTGCAGTTACAAATCAGGAACAGTAATTCTAATCTTTAGACTTGGCGGTCCCATTGTAAAAATGCGATGTCATCCAATTTCTATGCATTTCTCAAAGTTACAAATGTAGGTTGCAGTATTCAATAACGAAGTAGCACGAAGAAAAGAGTAAACCAGAAAATAAAAGCTTAAAACAATATTGCGCAACGTCACAACGCATACCCAAAGGGCTTTAGACTTGTAGGAAAAATATCGTGAGTGAGGCGTAGAAACTGAGAAAGCAAATAACAAGAGAAAAAATTGACGAAAATTATCAAGCGGTCATTAAATCTCTTATTAAATGTAATTACGAAATTTGTCACAGCAATTATGGCAGCGTTTTCTTCTTCCTTATTCGCTCCATGATGATTCCACCAAGCTGCATATTAACCGCCATTAAAATTATCATTTCATTAGACAGACTATTCCAAAAATTGTCCCCTGCTTCCCAATCTTTCTGTTTCAGAATTATCTGCAAATTATTATCTACCATTTGATCTCTTTTATAAAAGGCTGTTCATGGCATCAAATCAGGGGATCTTTGATAACCTTAATAACTATTAGTTCATTAAAGAAACCAGCCTAGGGCTTTATTTCCTTTACCTATTCTACTGTGGACTCCTAAAATATTATTGATACCCATACTGAAAACAATGACAACCGAAAAGAAATGGCAAATATGCCCAAATCTCTACCTCATTCCCCTATGCACTTAAAAAGAATCTGGACTGCCTTACATCTATCTATACCAATTTTAAACTTTAATTGAAAATAATTAGTGGTGCAAAATGTCATGTGCGGGATTAGTGCGGACACCGGGTTTATTTTTAAAAGGAATGTTGATGACAGCTAAACTCTTTACAAAAGCTTAAAGAAGCAAAGTATTGCAAATAGGATTTAAATAACGACGGAAGCAGAAGGGAAGAGCGGGTTTCTTAGTAATTAGACATCGTTTAGAGTCATTTTGTCTCCTCAAACACACCCTGTCAATTAGACGTTGATATATGTGCATACGTACATGTGTACGTCATTTATATATCCAAAGGATGTGAAACTAAATGTTGGTAAAGTAGCTCTGCTATGCTAAACATTTTCAAATTTGTCAAGAAGATATTTTTATAGAATACATTAATTACTTAATATACAGAAAGTAAGTGCTTCCTTTCGTTATTAAAGGAACAGTGACAAATATTATTCATGCTGAGAAGGGTGCAACAATGATTTAAATGCGTTTATCCTGGCGGTTAAATGCGAGTATCGCTTCTTTGCTTATACACTAGCAGTAAACGTGCTCCAACAGTTTGTAATTTATTCCAAACCGTGATTGCAAATTTAAGGGACACTGAGTATGTTATGAGTTACCGGAACGTAATGGACGTCGCAAGCTTTCTACAGTTCTAAGTACTGGGTGATGATTGAAGTTCTTCCAAACGAATAAATCAAAACGCGTTCAGATTATATTAGGAGGAAGTAAGACATCTAAACATGGCAAAAAAGAACAGCCTCTGAAATTGGATCAATGTTTATATAGTATGAGGATTTGTATTAAAACCTATAACTCTTGGGAACATTGGCAATAATTTGTCCAAATAGTTAGACAATGGAGGATAATTGTTTACACCTACACCTTACACCTACTCCATCGAGGCGAAAGACGTCATCTATTAATATCTAAAAGGAACGCATCAAGATTTAAACGATGTATATAATCAATAACAAATATTTGTACATCATATTGGCCATTAAAGCTTCTAATATTGGGATAATTAACGCCTTTCCGCTAAGTATGTCTTAAATTATGACATTAATAAATATAGAGGTTCTTTTACAAAAACATTCTACAGAGTTTAAGGTTTGAAAATTTTACACTAAACAGTTGTTTTTAATTTGCCGTGACGAAATTTATGTCTTAAGTGTCGGGTGAGAAGTGCAGACACGTTAAGAAGAGACGCTAATTTGCGCCACGGATAAAATTAGATTTTAAACGGCTAACGATCTAAACGGTGGTGAAAAATGATACAAAAAACTTACGCCGCTATCTTCCAGCAATATATTAGTTTCTAATTGCCATGCCACTTAAAATGTGTCATATTATAAAGGAGATTCCGGTAAACGTCTATTAGTGGCCAACTTTAAATATAAGCGGACGTTTCAGAAGATTGTTACCGATTTATAAAATTATTAATATTTATAATGCTCTACTTTATGCCAGTAAATTACCTATTAGATGCATGTGGTCGATATGGGTCTCATGAATTTAAACTTATTGAATGGTCCATCTCTATTCCTTTTCTGTTTTTAGAATTATTTTCCTGCTTCTAATCGTTCAGAGCTTTGGCTAAAAACTGGCTTTAACTTATTAATGTGATTTTCTTTTCAGATATCGCATATTTCGACTGCCGTTCGGATGATGATCGCAAGAAGAGGCCACGAACTGCATTCACTGCGTCACAAATAAAGTCACTAGAAGCAGAATTTGAGAAAAACAAGTACCTCTCGGTGGCAAAAAGGAATCAACTTTCAAAAACACTCAAACTTACAGAAACCCAAATTAAAATATGGTTTCAAAACAGGCGAACGAAATGGAAACGAAAGTACACGAACGACGTGGAGCTTTTAGCGCAGCAGTACTACAACTCGATGGGTTTCTTCGTTCCACGACCCATTTTCCTTGGTGATCGACTGTGGTGAGTGGCAAAACGTCGGTAAAAGTAGGTAATCAATGTTACAATCAGGTTTTTCAACTGTCAAAATCAGACAACGATGAGCAACTTAAACCACTTTGTACAACCATCAACGAGCATTGTTCCACTACCTCAAACGGCACTTCCACATGTCAGTCCACAAGTTTCGCAGTCCTGCAGTCAACATTACGTCAGCTTTCAAGACCCTATGCCTGAAACGCCGGCTATACTGCAGCTTCAAAATTTTGGAAGGCATTTTGATAATTCGTAGTTGCGTGCTCGTTGGTAATTTATATTTCAATATTTTTTATACTTAAATCCGTACTTTATGCATTTACATATCAAAGAAAATACAAATGTTAGAGCGTTGTTGTTTTATTGGTGTGTCTGTGTAATTGTAGGAACGTTCTCTGATTCTTCTGCAGAGATGGTTGATTTTTTTCGCGTATTGATTTCCCAGCTCATCTTAAAATGGAGATATTCATTCTAAAATGTAGGTACCCGTAATATCTGTTTAACACATACTTGAATAACTCAAAATGTAATGCAATGATCTTATTTTTAACTCTCTCTCTCTCTCTGTGTCCTACTACTACATTTTAGCACGCAGAGTGTTACATATAAGTAGGTATATAAAAACGAGTATGTATAAATAGTGCACAACTCTTATGCAGATAAAGCGCATTTTTTTAATACATTGTAGGATAGTATAGTCACAGATTTAAGTATTTAAATCTGTGGTATAGTAGCATGCTATAGGTATTTATGGATGTTTTTCGTATTGGCAGATGATTAATGGAGAGACTTCACCAATAGATAAGTACTTATGTCTCGTCCAAACAATTCATTTTGCCTTTGTGGGTACTTTCCTCCGACAAACCGGGTTCGAGATATTCGCTCTTAAAGTTTTGACATCACCAATAGATATATTTCTTCGTCCTTCAAATCGTACTATCCTCCGACAATCTGTTCCTGAGACATAAAGAATTATTTATATCGGATCACGATAAATGTCCGGACGAACGGACAGACTGGCAGACGGAGAGACACACCGGACGAACGGACAAAACGCAAACAATAGTTTTTTTAATTATTAAAAAATGCGCTAAAATGTGAAAATCACGCACGCATTTGAAACCCAACGATTATACGGAGAAAGATCAATTATGCGCTACCGGGACGTCTATTTCGTAGGGGTGTTGAATTCGAAGAGCAGGTCTCACAAGAAGTTCAAGAAGATCCTTGACTTGTACGCGGACCGAATCACGGGTGAGTGGTAAGAACTACGTATGGCTTGTGTTAAAAGGACAACTGCTGTACCGGTACCATATACAAAAAGTACCTACAGCAACTAATATTGCCAACGGATTATGGCCTTAGAGTCGAGTTCTGCCAGTTTATTGCAACACGTCGCCGCGTTGGAACCCTAAATTTTATTCGACTATTTTATTTCCTGATGCGGCCACCTTTCATCAAGATGATTATGTTAATGTTAAGAAACGGCTGCACGAATAGGAGAGGTGAGGTCTTGTAAAAACCGTTGGATGATGTGCTGTAATTCGTTCCTAAGATTATCTTTATTGGAGACGCGGTTATAGCACGATGGACCAGAGAATTGATAACATCTTTCTCCGTATAATCGTTATATAATTTCAAATAAATGGGTTATTTTCATATTCAAAAACGCCCATATACCAAATTTCGAAATCATTTTTTTTTCGCACCCTTATTTAAGGGCGCGCTCTTTCGTGGTAGGAATTTTGAATTTTTTTTGCAAAATCGCAAAGAGCATACCCCAAAACCTACTGCCACCAATCTTTGTAATTCTTACTGAGAAAAAAGTGCTCGGCTCGGCGATCGAGCGCTTTTTTTTAGCTCGCAAGTTCTTTTTCCGCTCGCGAGCGCTTTTCCCGTTCGAGAGCGCTTTTTTGGTTCCTAGGCGGTTTTTTTTCCTGCTCCCGAGCGCTGTTTCCACTCTTGAGCGTTTTTTGCGCTCCCGGGCACTTTTTCTGCTTTTGAGTGTTTTTTCCGCTCACGTGCACTTTTCCCGAGCGCTCGCTGTAATCCGCTCGAGCACTTTTATAGAAGTGCTCGGATCTCGCAAGCAGTTTCGCATTGCAAAACATCTCGATGCTCTCGAGCATTTTTTGCTCGAGCGGTTTTTTAGAATGCTCTACCCAACTCTGTTAAACGCACCTTTGATATGTAGAAACGCTCCCAAGGCTACCCCTCCGCCCGCCGGTAGACAGCCTGCACATAAGGCTGTGAAGAGCCCCCTCCGTGACCATACCAGCCCTGTAAGCATGTTGAAATGTTGGAAGACTCTACGTACCTATAAGGACCAGTGCCCCATTCCTTATGTATGCATCCATCAGCTTCGCCGTCGTTTTTAGAAGAATGATGATAGGCTGATGGACCTGTAATTCTTCGCCATGTCATATTTGGCACGACCCCGACTGAAGAAAGGTAAGTTGCCTGCTTACCTTTCTCCAGCTTTGAGCGATACCTATTCCTGAACGTGCTGACCACCCATCTCGGAGATCCCCCTGCACCTGGGCAGCTATACTTTCCAGTCGATCGGCCGTACTACGACCCGAGTAGCTCCCTTTGCTGGGTCCGAAGTTACTCAACTCCCAGAGTCTGGAAAGTGTTTCCAGGGGACATGTGAGATCCCCACGCGCGGTACACATTATCTCTACCGCATGGAAGCCCCATTGTCCCCACTTTTTGCTCCGAGTCCTTCGAAAGGATTTTACAAAGTTTCTATGTTACCACATAAAGCCCTCCCATGATCCTCGTTTAGATTTAGATTCATTAAAAGAGCCTGCGAACCTCCTTACCAGACCTGGGTACTACGAGTGCTTTTTCAGCTCGCGAACGGTGTTTTCTGCTCACGAGCGCTTTTTCCGCTCCTGAGCGTTTTTTTTCGCTCGTGAGCGTTTTTAACCGGTCTCAAGCGATGAAGGATTAAGCGCCACTCGCGAACGTTTTTTCCGCTTCGGGGCGCTTTTTCCGCTCTTGAGCGTTTACCGCTCACGGGTACTCTTCCCCTAGCTCTCGCGATACACCGCTCGAGCACTTTTAGGAGTGCTCGGAACTCGCAAGCGGTTTCCTCCTCCTCCCCGCTGTGACGAAGGTGGAGGCTGGACGGGACCGACAAGAAATCCAAATTCCAACTTTTTAGGGACAAATTATCCAAATAATTTGGATTGTTTTCGTCAAGATATCCAATTTTTATCGACAAATTATCCAAATCCAAATAAAGCGACAAATAATATCCAACCAATTTGGAAACTGCGATTTCGATATCTTGTCGGTGGCGCGACAAGATATCCAAATATCGAATTTTTTTTAGACAAGAAATCCAAATTTTTTGGACAAAATTTCCAAAAAGTTCGGAAATTTTTTGACAAGATATCCAAACTTTTTAGACAAGAAATCCAAAAAGTTTGGAAAGTTTTCAACAAGATATCCAATTTTCGTATAGATAAAGGTACGCCGCTTTTTTATGTAAATATGTAAATAACTATTTTTATTTACAGGTATAATCATTACATTGCCTGCCTGTGGAAAAAGAACATTCGAAAGACGTACGATGGTTTGAAGTCAAGTTTAGCCCCGCGCCTTAATTATACTTCACAGACCACGGAAGGAGTTAGCACCATTTGCTTCTAGCGTAATTTTTCAGTAAGCTTGAACCGCTTGATCCACTTCCTCCAAAGGTATATCCTTAGACCATACAGTGCAGGTCTAAGGCTATATCACGCGTTGAATGTTGTTCTTGCAGGACTCTTATAGGAGCTGCATCAAAGATGTTTATTTCGTCGTTGTTCATTTTGCTGCTATCCTATAAGTCATTTTATTACTAGGTAGGCACTAATTCTTTGACGCTGTATGAAAACATACTAAATGCTATGGCGTGCTTTAACACTGAAACTGAAATGTTTCGTACTGCACAAGGTTCATACGTGATTAAAGGGCTTGAATAAAATTTGGATTTCTTGTCTAAAAAAGATATCCAAATCGGAGTTTCCAAATTGGTTGGATATTTTGTCGCTTTATTTGGATTTGGATAATTTGTCGATAAAAATTGGATATCTTGACGAAAACAATCCAAATTATTTGTATAATTTGTCCCTAAAAAGTTGGAATTTGGATTTCTTGTCGGTCCCTACCTACTTGACGTCAAACGCAAGGAAGTCCCTATACCAGGCTTCCCGCCCTGTGAAAGAACGTCCTTCATCCATGGACTTGTCCGGAAGATGGTTCCGCGGGAGCCTGCATAACACAATCAGCACCTTGGTTACTCTAGTCGACGTGTCTCTGCACTTTCAGAGCCGCGCCATCCCAGGGTTTAATATCATCATGGTCACAATGTAAAACTAATAATAAAGCAACAGAACGTCATGTATGACATTCAAATTTGCGTCGTTAATATCGTTATTTGTTCTAACATCTCAATTACATAAAACCACAAGGGCACCAAAGACAGAGGGCGCGGAGCAGCCCTCCGAGACAGTCGCTCCCTGACATTTATGTGTGGTAGCACAAAAAAATCACAATGATCAGCTATTGCAGATAGCTATGTGCTAATTATTGAGCAATTACATAACTACACTGACAATTACTTCTAGCAAGTTAATATTTTAACATATTGAATTGTCCAATATCCCTTTCAATAAGGGCGGTTAAAACAAGAAACATTAGCCTGGCACATAGGCAGTCCATCTTGCACCTTAATAAACTGTAGTCGAGTACATTGTTATACCTTTAATGACAATATTAATACAAATTCAATTAATGAATACTTATGATAACAATACAGTTACAACAAGAAAACAATAATTTTTATCTCCTATTAGATCTTCAATTGAAAATTCAGTACTCCAGTGCAAAGCCACTATGCACCAGGGGATGTAATAGTCATGCCAAGTGTGGAATCATCCAGATTTTGCCTTTCTGATACAACTTGTGTGTACAATTCGTCATCATCATACAGCATTGCTTGCATACGTTGCTTGTAACTGAAACAAAACAGTTACACTTATGAAACAGAATCAGATCAACAGACATTTCACTGTCCGGATTATTCTCAGGATTTCGACATTTTTCCAACTTTTTCTCAAGCAATTTCTGGTGGTTTTTATCGACAGCAACATCGACCATCTTTACCATGGAACGAATCCCTAGAAAAGTGAATGACTTACGGTCGCTATACAACTGCTAGACTTACCACGGACCGCATCTATTAGCTCGTCGAGCTTTCCACGACCTTCGACCCCAAACAGTGTGTCTGTGACGTACGAGTCTAGATTTTCTTGCAATTTAGAGGCGGCATGGAGAATTGCTGCCAATGCGACTTGGCTGGG